ACGAAACCCAAAAAATTGAGAAAACAAAGAAAATGAAAAATTACAAATCGAAAAAATCGAAGACATGAAAAGTTGATAAATCTAAAAAGTGAAACATTCAGAAATTGGATAATCGAAAAAAATTAAAAAACAAAATATCAAAAAATCGGAACATTAAAAAATAAATGAAAAATAAAAAAATGAAAACTTGAGAAGTTTTTCATCGAAATTTAAAAATTGAAGAAACAAAAAAAAGAAAAATTGAAACATCGCAAATGGAAAAATTGAAAAAAAACGGAAAATTCAAAAAAAGAAAGAAATTTTCAAAAATTCGCATTTCGCAAAATGTTTTTTCGTGACCATCAACATGCTATATTTTTGGAATCGGCGTGTCGAGATCTACGTCCCTGAATTTTTTCATAATTTGTAGACAACTTTTTTAAAATTGAAATTTTTCAAATTTCGCAAAAAATTTGGCATTTTCGAAACTCAACTAAATACATTTTCTTGTAGATTTAGAGCTCTAGAACTCAAATCCGGCTTTTCCAGAACCGACTGTTGAAATTTCGAAATTTCTGAAATTTTCAAAAATTCGGATTTCGCAGCGATTTTTTCGAAAATGTTGCTTCGAAAAATTGTAAATAAGTTAGTTTAAAATTCAGTAATTGAAAAATAAAAAAATCATAAAATTATAAAATGGAAAAAATGTTTTTTTTTAAATTATAGTGATTATTACATAATTAAAATGAAAACTAGAAAAATTGAAAAAAGCAGAATTAAAAAATCCAAAAGCTGAAAAATTTAAGCCGAAAAACCCTAAAATGGAAAACTTTCACATTGAAAAACAAAAATTTTTAAAGCAACAACGAAAAACAGAAAAAATTAAAAAGTAAAGAAAATGAAAAACCGAAACGAAAAAGTACGAATCGAAAAATTGAATCAACGATAAATTGAAAAAAAAACCAAAGACTCTAAAATCGGAAAAAATTGTAAAAATTAAGAATATAAAAAACCGAATCGTAGAATTGTCGAAAATTTGAAGAAATGAAAAATTAAAAAATTTAAAGTTGAGAAATTTTGAATCGAAAAATTGCAAAATCTAAAAAAACGAAGAATGAAAAATCGAAAGCCTGAAAAATCGAAAAATTGAGAGCGAAAAATTGAAAAATCCAAAATTACAAAATCACATTGAATAAAAAAAAAATTAAATCAGGAGAACGAAAAACCGAAAAATTTTAAAAATATGGAAAATCAAAAACCAAAAGTTTCCTTTACATATATTATTTACATATATTACAAATCAAAAAATTGAAGACATGAATAGTTGGAAAATCGAAAAACTGAAGAAATGGAAAAATGAAAACTAGAAATTTTGAATCGAATAACTGCAAATTTAAAAATGAAGAAACCAAAAAAAAAGTGTAAAAAAATTGAAAAATCGCAAATCGAAAAATTGAATACCCTAAAATTGTAAAATCGAAAAATTATGAACAAGTAAATAAATAAATAAATTTACGTAGAAATGAACACGTTTTAAAATCCAATAATTGAAAAATGAAAAAATTCGAAAATCGCAAAACTGATTTTTTTTAAATTATAATCACTATTACATAATTAAAGTAAAAACTAGAAAAATTTCAAATCAAAAATTGAAGAAACGAAAAATCGAGAAACTGAAAAAACGAAGAATGAAAAAATCGAAAAGGTGAATAATCGAAAACCCATAAATTGAAAAATCCAAAATTTAAAAAATTTCACATTGAATAAAAAAAATTTTAATCAGAAGACCGAAAAACCGAAAAAATTTTAAAAATATGGAAAATGAGAAACCGAAACGAAAAATTACAAATCGAAAAATTGAAGAAACGAAAAATTGAAAAAGCATAGGTTTAAAAAATCGACAAATCGAAGAAATGAAAAAATAAAAAATTACAACTTGAGAAATTTTGAATCGAAAAATTGCAAAATCTAAAAATTGAAGTAACACAAAAAAAAAAGAAAAATTGAAAAATCAAAAGAAAAAAAAACGTAATAATAAAGAAAATAAAAGACCAAAATGAAAAATTAAAGAATCGAAAAATTGAAAAATTAGAATTTGAAAACTCCAGAAATTTTGAATCGAAAACTGCAAATTTAAAAATTGAAAAACTCCAAAATTGTCAAATCGAAAAATTTTACATTTACGTGTAAACGAAAAACTTTAAAACCAAAAATTGTCAAAAAGTGACAAAAATTTTAAAATCGTAAAAGTGAAAATTAAAAAAACTGAAAATTCTAAAATTGAAAAAACTGAGAATTAAAAAATCCAAAAAGCTGAATAATCGAAAAATTAAAAACCGAAAAATTGGAAAATCCAAAAATTGAAAAATTTCACATTGAAAAAAGAAAAATTTTAAAATCAGAACAACGAAATCCAAAAAATTGAGAAAATAAAGAAAATGAAAAATTATAAATCGAAAAAGTCGAAGACGTGAAAAGTTGAAAAATCTAAAAAGAAAAACTAAGAATAAAAAATCTAAAGGCTGCAAAATCGAAAAATTGAGAGCCGAAAAATTGAAATATTTCACAGTGAATAAAAAAAAATTAATCACAACAAAGAAAAACCGAAAAATTTTTTAAATATGGCTAATGAAAAACCGAAAGTAGAAATTAAAAATCGAATGAAGACATGAAACGTTGAAACATCTAAAAAGTGAAACATTCAAAAGTTGGAAAATCGAACTGAAGAAACAAAAATAAAAAAACCCTAAAATTGTAAAACCGAAAAACTATAAACAAGTAAATAAATAAATAAATTTAGTTAAAAATGAAAACGTTTTAAAATCCAATAATTGAAAAATAAAAAATTCTAAAATCGTAAAACTGATTTTTTTAATTATAATCACTATTACATAATTAAAACAAAAACTAGAAAAATTTCAAATCAGAAATTGAAAAAACAAAGAATGATAAAATTCAAAGGGTGAAAAATCGAAAGCTCAGAAATTGAAAAATCCAAAATTTAAAAAAATTCCACATTGAATAAAAAAAAATTAAATCAAGAACGAAAAACCGAAAAAGCATAGGTTTAAAAAATCGAAAAATTGAAGAAATGAAAAAATAAAAAATTAAAATTTGAGAAATTTTGAATCGAAAAATTGCAAAATCTAAAAATTGAAGAAACAAAAAAAAATCGAAAAAACAAAAAATTAAAAATCGTAATGATAAAGAAAATAAAAGACCAAAATGAAAAATTAAAGAATGGAAAAATTGAAAAATTATAAATTATTCAATAATTAAATTTACCTATAAACGAAAAACTTTAAAACCAAAAATTGTCAAAAAATGACAAAAATTTTAAAATCGTAAAAATGAAAATTAGAATAATTGCAAATCAAAAATTGAAGAAACGGAAAATTGAAAAATCGAAAACTGAAAATTCTAAAATTGAAAAAACTGAGAATTGAAAAATCGAGAAAGCTGAATAATCGAAAAATTAAACACCGAAAAATTGGAAAATCCAAAAATTGAAAAATTTCACATTGACAAAAGAAAAATTTTAAAATCAGAACAACTAAACCCAAAAAATTGAGCAAATAAAGAAAATGAAAAATTACAAATCGAAAAAATCGACGACATGAAAAGTTGAAAAATTTAAAAAGTGAAACATTCAGAAGTTGGAAAATCGAAAAAAATGAAAATATTAAAAAACCTTAATAAAAAATAAATGAAAAATGGAAGAAACAAAAAAAAAAGAAAAATTGAAACATCGCAAATGGAAAAATTGAAAAAAACGGATTATTCAAAAAACCTCGAAATTTCGAAATTTTTGAAATTTTCAAAAATTCGCATTTCGCAGCGATTTTTTCGAGACTGTTGCTTCGTAGCCATCAACATGCTATATTTTTGGAATCAGTGTGTCGAGATCTACGTGCTTGGATTTTTTCATAATTTTTAGACAACTTTTTTAAAATTGAAATTTTTTAATGGTCTTCTTCAAATTTGGCAAAAATTTTGACACTTTCGAAATTCAACTAAATATATTTTCTTGTAGATTTCGAGCTCTAGAGCTCAAATCCGGCTTCGGTTTTTTGATACCTGCAACCGTTTTTCCAGACTCGACCGTTGAAATATCGAAATTTTTGAAATTTTCAAAAATTAGCGTTTCGGAGCGATTTTTTCGAAAATGTTGCTTCGTGACCATCAACATGCTATATTTTTGGAATCAGCGTTTCGAGGTCTACGTCCCTGAATTTTTTCATAATTTTTAGACAACTTTTTTAAAATTGAAATTTTTCAATGGTCCCCCCTTCTTCAAATTTCGCAAAAATTTTGACATTTTCGAGACTCAACTAAATACATTTTCTTGTAGATTTCGAGCTCCAGAACTCAAATCCGGCTTCGGTTTTTTGACACCTGCAACGGTTTTTTGCAGAATCGACAGTTGAAATTTCGAAATTTTTGAAATTTTCAAAAATTCGCGTTTGGCAGCGATTTTTTCGAAACTGTTGCTTCGTGACCATCGACATGCTATATTTTTGGAATCAGCGTGTCGAGATCCACGTCCCTGAATTTTTTCATAATTTTTAGACAACTTTTTTGAAATTGGCATTTTTTAAAAATTTTTTAAAAATTTTTGTGAAATATTCAAAAGTTGGAAAAACGAAAAACTGAAGAAAAAAAAATGAAAGTCGAAAAATTGAAAAGACAAAAGATTAAAATTCGCAACATTCAAAAATCGAAAAATTGCAAATCGAAAATTTGTAGAAAAGAAAAATGAAAAAAATTAAAACTAGAAATCTTGAATCGAAACATTCCAAAATGTAAAAATTGAAACAAAAAATTATCAAATCGAACATTTGAAATAAATAAAGAAAATAAAGAACCGAAACGAAAATTTGCAAAAATCTAAAAATTGAAAAAACAAAAAAAAATGAAAAATTAAACAGAAAATTGGTAAAAATCCAGGTAGTGTGTTATTGGTTTTTACTTTATAGAGGTCATCAGAAAACAAAAATAACTTTAATATTTTTTTTTTCCAGTCTGTTACTACTTTGTACTCATCATCTTTGAGTCCGTGTCTGGGCGCGGACTTATCACTCTTGGACGCCGACGTCGGGACTTCCCCTGATCTCAACCTCACCCTCAACGCCTACGACCTGGCCAACGCCGACACCGACCAGCTATCCCTGGAAATCGAGAAAGAAAGGTAGATTCGCATCCAGCGCCCCTAGAAAAGTGACGTCACGATTTCTTTGCAGGGGTTTCTGCCTGGAAAAACAGAAGCACCTCCAGCACCAACTCCGAGAGCTCCGCACCGAGATCGCAGTTCTAAAAGTAGCCGAGAAGCAAACCGAGTTCGACCAGCTGCACAGCGAGCAGGTCAAACTCGGCGAGAACAAGTATTCCACCCTGAAAAAGAGCAAATCGGGCTCGACGAAGTCCCGAGTCGCATTCTTCGAAGAACTGTAATATTTCCTGTAACAGATAAATAAATTTTATCATTTTTAAATCCGCCTGTCACCCCCCCGCAAAATCTAGACTTTCCACGACACCCAGAAACACTCGCGCTCGTGCGCGCCGAACCCGTCCCCGGAATTCGAATTTCCCGCGGCGTCGAACAGGTGTTATGAGATCAAGTTACCTTACAAGAACAAGTAGATTCTCAGTTGTTTCGTGACCTTTCACTAGCGATCTTGATTTAAATGTTGAGCGAGAACGGCGTCCGTCGCTGAGCAAAACAAAACCGCATCGGAGGGAGCCGCCCCAGCGCCGTAAGTAGCACGCATCCCTGCGGGTTTCGGGGTTGGCGGCGATTACGCCGTTCGCGAAAACGCACAAAGACCCTGAAGGCGGGCGGCCGAAACGGGTCGGGCGGCGTAAATCGCGTCACGTGACCGCCGCTGCTCTTTTTTGTTCTTTGAGTGAGAGTACCGCTCCGGAGGAATTATGAATGAAAAGGTGCAGATGTGTGAATGACCCACCTGTGTGACGTAATTCTTAGATAAACCGCCCACAGCGGTGTTTTTATGTCTGGCTGTTTTACAGCCGGGTTATTTATTGGTCGGATTCGGTAAGTGGGCCTCGGACCGCGATGTGGCAACGGCGCGTTTTCGAAAAGCGCTAAATGTCGGCGCATAAAAAGCGTCGTTATGGGTTTAGCCTTGGGAAACGCGAGGAATGTTCATGGTTTTTCTTTTCGATCGAGTGGACGCTTGTTACCAGTTTTTTCGAGCCGATACCGGATTCCGCCGATGTGCGAAAAAACGGCGCGGGGAACTGCGCCGAGGGGCGGAGGTCGGACTGGACGGAGCCGGGAAATTCGTTGGATGGGTTCGGAGTGGGTATGCGGAAAAGTGCCGAAGTGGTCCGGATCAGTGGCGGCTCGTCAGGGGGGGCCAGTTAGGCCAGGCCGAGTCTGTCACCGAACTTGTCAATTTGCGAGATTCATTTTTATTTTAAACGCAAGAATATAATTTAAAGCTATTTTGAAATCACCTGATTTTACTGTTGTTATTATTTTTTTAATTACAAAAAGCGTTATCTAATTTATTCACTTGCGTTCGGAAGCACAAATCGTGCCGGGAAGTTTAAATATTTTTACTGCGAGGAGCAGCAGCTGAGGCCGGCCGACTACAAGAATAAACGTCGAATAATGTCATATCTGCTATCGCTCTCTGTTTAGCGGAATTAAAGAGAAATAGCTATAAAGACTGATACGTGTCTGATACCCTCTGATTAACGCGCCTGCAGCAGTGATTGGTCAAATGTCTGCTAAAATCGGCCGGCCTTTTGGCAGTACATCAAGTTGTTATAGCGCTATCACCTTCTGTTTGTATAAGTTAGAAGGCAATAGCGATGAAACCGTACAATATTACGTTTCATCACTCCACTTCTGCCGTGCACTTTTCCATGCGGTTCCCCACTACCAGCACCGGCCGGCCGCTGTCTGTATATTGTGAATTTCTGCAGTCTTCACGTGGATGAAATTGGTTTAGGTTTGTTTCTAATTTCAGTAACAATGACAACAGTTAGTAAGAGCATTAGTAACTGATTTAAATTTTGATGCTGTTACACATCTATTAAATAATGACTTTCGACTTTTAACGTACGATGATCAATTCCTGGGATATAAAAGAAATGACCCGTTCGGAGCCGCGCATGCAACATTTAATCGAAGCACGGAGCAATAATAACGTCAGCTCCGGTGCAATAGCATATTAATAATTAATAATTAATACAGCATGGTATGAAAATTATGAATGGCTGACGGGGAGCAAGTCAAAAAACAAACTATTTTGTTGATATTGTTTAATTTTTGAATATGATGTTGACAATAAATTCAAAAAAACTTCAGAAAAAGAGTTTTGCCTCTGGTCGTCTGGTACGATTGACATATTGAGTTACCGTGCTCTTTTGCCATCTTCCTAATTTCTCAACCCTGCTCCTGATGATGCTACTTACGAAAATGTAGAAGCCTCCGAAATTATTTCTGTCTTTAATTTTAATCATATACCTACCATCCACATCAGCATATGTTGAACGCAGTTTTTCAGCTTTAAAGCGAATTACAAATTTTACTAGAAACTCCATTAGTCAAAATCGATTATCCAAATTATTCGTTTTAGCAATAGAAAAAGAAGTGCTTACAAACTTAACGGAAGATCAAAAGTTCTATAATCAAGTAATTGACCACTTTGCCAATACAAAACAAAGACGCATTGAATTGGTTTATAAAAATTTCTAATTTACTTTTTTAATTTTGTTTTTTACTAATAAATAGTTGTTGACGTTTCATGTTATATTTTTTGTTAGAATGTGTTACTTTATAACTTGAATGTTATTTTCATTTTTATTTGAGCTTATTGTCGTTATTTTATTATTATAGATGGCTTATATTGTATAAGTATATGCTTTACTTTATACCTATTTGAAGAATATTTTTTATTTTGTTTTACCAAGTTGTTAGGACTATATGAATTAACACCATACAGGAAGCAAATTATAGATAATGACTGACTTGAGGTCCCTGGTTCTTGTATTCTATGTCTTAAAACTTTGGGTTACTCACTGCTGGCCGACCCAACCAAAATAGTCACGAGCCGCCACTGGTCCGGATGCTGTGACGTCACGTGTTGTTGGACAGTTGGTAGCAACAAACGAGTTTTCAGGAAAGCGGACGTTGAGTTTAAATATTTATTCATGCCACCAAGTAGCTAAATATTCTAGTTTTCACGTGATATTATTTTTAATACAATACAGCTGGTAGTTTAGAGGCATAATTGATGGCTTGAAACGTATCTTTAGGAAATTATACGCGTATTTTCAGCGATTAAGACTAATAATTATTTTCTTCAGACTGTTCTGTTTTAAGTATAATTTTTACTTCCCGAGCGTAAGCAAAGGAAGTATTGTAATCGAGTCCGTCGGCCGACTCTCCACTTTTACGTTTTCTCGATCTTTCATGACCCCTAGAAGACGAAGAAATAGGTCTCCCATTTCCGTCTGTCTGTCCGTCCGTCTGTCCGTCCGTCTGTCCGTCTGTTGTCCCGGATTTTTATTAGACAGATAATCTCCGAAAGTACTCGACCGATTGTTGTGAAATTTTGTACTTATATTAAGAATATCATGTAGATGGTAAAACGCTAACCAAAATTTGTCTAATCATCCCCACCACTAATGCGATGACGTCACTTCAAAATTGTACATAGTAAATGGGTTTTCAATTGTATAAAATAACATAGTCCTACACATGTAGTTTACAACTCTGAATCGACTTTTCACCCGAAACGTCCAGATTTTTGGAAAAAAAATCAAAATTATAAAACATTTTGAAATTTAATTTTTAATCTGCTAACCAGAATGCTTTGAAATGTTGCAGATGTTTTAAGGCTATAAAGAGCATCATAAATCTTTAGTCAAAAAATATTTGCTTATCCCCTCCAAAAACTTGATGACGTCAGCTCAAAAGTTTGTGGAATAAATCATATCTAAAATGTACAAAATATGATGAGTCTGTACTTGTGATCTATCACTCCATTCATATTTTTTGGATTTGCATATACAGGGTGACTCAAAAAAATTAATGAATGCGTAAATATATTTTATTGATTTAATCAGGAACTACAAAACCGAATGCTCTGAAATCTTGCAGATGTTTTAAGGTCATGAAGAGCATAATAAATGTTTAGTCAAAATATATTTGCTTATCCCCTCCAAAAACTTGATGACGTCAGCTCGAAAGTTTGCCGAATAAATCATATCTAAAATGTACAAAATATGATGAGTCTGTACTTGTAATTTATCACTCCATTCATATTTTTTGGATTTGCATATACAGAGTGACTCAAAAAAATTAATGAATGCGTAAATATATTTTATTGATTTAATCAGGAACTACAAAACGGAATGCTCTGACATCTTGCAGATGTTTTAAGGTTATAAAGAGCATAATAAATGTTTAGTCAAAATATATTTGCTTATCCCCTCCAAAAACTTGATGACGTCAGCTCGAAAATTTGCCGAATAAATCATATCTAAAATGTACAAAATATGATCAGTCTGTACTTGTGATCTATCACTCCATTCATATTTTTTGGATTTGCATATACAGGGTGATTCAAGAAAATAAATGAAAGCGTAAATTTATTTTACTGATTTACTCAGGAACTACAAAACCGAATGCTTCGAAATCTTGAAGATATTTTAAAATTATCATAAGCATGGTAAATTTTTGATCAAAACGTATTTGGTCGTCCCCCCTAAAAAATTTATGATGTCACCACAAAATTTTGCTGAAAAAATCCTATCTAAAATGTACAAAATATGGTGAGTCTCTTCTTGTGATTTATCATTCTATTCAATGTTTTTCGATTTGCATATACAGGGTGACTCAAAAAAATTAATGAATGCGTAAATTTATTTTATTGATTTAATCAGGAACTACAAAACCGAATGCTTTGAAATCTTGCAGATGTTTTAAGGTTATAAAGAGCATAATAAATTTTTAGTCAAAATATATTTGGTTATCTTCTACAAAAAACTGATGACGTCAGCTCAAAAGTTTGCCGAATAAATCGTATCTAAAATGTACAAAATATGATGAGTCGGTACTTGTGATTTATCATTCCAATCATATTTTTGGATTTGCATATGCAGGGTGACTCAAAAAAATTAATGAAGGCGTGAATTTATTTTATCGATTTAATCAGGAATTAGAAAACCGAATGCTTTGAAATCTTGGGAATATTTTAAAGTTATTATAAGCATGGTAAACTTTTGTTCAAAATGTATTTGTTCATCCCTCCTAAAAAAATTGATGACGTCACCCTTAAATTTTGCTGAATAAATCCTATCTAAAATGCAAAAAATATGATGAGTTTGTACTTGTGATTTATCATTCCATTCATATTTTTTAGATTTTCTTAAGAGGTGGTTCAAAAAAATTAATGAAGTCAATTTATTTTATTGATTAAATTAAAGGCAACACTTATTATTAGTATTACACCCCAACCAACCCAATTTGGTAGACACAAAATTTGTTAAAGGAAAAACTCGGTTGAAACATAAGGGTAGCACGCTTATTTACATCGACTTTAACATTACAGACCTGCATTTGTTTTATGCGCTCACTTGGTTTCGCGAATGTGAAATAGACATGTTTATAATCAACCAATTGTGAATTTCACCGTCAAGAATTAAAATAAAACCCAATGTTTTATATAATAAACGGAAGTCGAAGCAATAAAACCGATGGTCGTTTTGTTTACAGTTT